ATATATGAATATATACATATATATATATATATGTGTATGTATATATTCATTTATTTGTTTATTTTTTTATTTTGGGAAGGGGTACTGGGGATTTAACCCAGGGGAACTTTACTACTGAGCCACATCCCCAGCTCATTTTATTTTTTATTTCGGGACTGGGTCTCAGTAAGTTGCTTAGGACCTAAGTTGCTGACATTGGTCTTAAACTTGTGATCCTCCTGTCTCAACTTCCTGGCATTATAGGTGTGCACCATTGCACCTGACTCTGCTCTCATTTTTATTATTTAGTTTCCTTTGGCAGATCTTTCTTCTTTTTCCAGCTATCATTCTGATAGTCATCTCTAGTTTATATCTATTTTCAAATAATTATATTACTTTCACAGGTAGTGTAGGTGCCTTGTACAGAATAATCATAGTTTCTTCCTCCCATCCCTTATAATATAACCATCATTCATTTCACTGAGAAGCAAAAATCATTTTTTTGTTTTGAATAATTTTTGCCATTATAATTTCTAACAAACTGCGAGATGCAGTAATGCACTCCTGGTCATCCCAGGAATTGGGGAGCCTGAGGTAGGAGGATTGCAAGTTCAAGGCCAGCCTGGACAAATTAGCAAGATCCTGTCTCAAAATATGAAGAACTAGAGATGTAACTCGGTGGTAAAGTACCCTAGATTCATCCCCCAGTACCAAAAGTGATAATAATAATAATGTTTCTTCGTTTGTTTTGTTTTGTACCAGGGATTGAATTCAGGGGCACTCAACCACTGAACCACATCCCCAGCCCTATTTTGTATTTTATTTAGAGACAGGGACTCACTGAGTTGCTTAGAGCCTCACTTTTGCTGAGGCTGGCTTTGAACTTGTGATTCTCCTATCTCAGCCTCCCAAGCCTCTGGGATTACACCTGTTTATTGTTAGATCAACTAAGAATATGCAAAATATAAGATTTTATTTTACCTTCATTTTTTTTTCCTTTTCTAATGCTCTTCAATTCTTTATATAAATTCAAGTTTCCAACCTGTATCGTTTCCTTCTCTATGAAAGATTTCTTTTAACATTTCTTGCCAGGTATGTCTACTAGCACAAATACATTCAATTTTTTATTTAAGAAAGTCTTTATTTCTGCTTCACTATTGAAGGATAATTTTGCTGGATACAGAATTCTGGGTTCTAGGGAATTTTTTTTTTTTTTTAACACTTGGAGTATTTCACTCCACTTCTTTCTTACTTCTTCGGTTTCTGAAGAAAATTCTAATGTAATGCCTATTCTTGTTCCTCTTAGGAGCACCTTCTCTCTTAGACTTTCTACAATTTGTATATTATATGCCTAGTTGTAGATATTTTGTATCTATCTTTCTTGGTGTTTTCTGAACTTCTGTGGTTTGGTATTTGTCTTTAATTTGGGAAAACTATCATTCTCCAAATATTTATTATCTTTCTTTTCTTTTTTTTTTTTTAATTTTTTATTGTTGGTTGTTCAAAACATTACAAATTTCTTGACATATCATATTCCACACTTTGATTCAAGTGGGTTATGAACTCCCACCTTCACCCCATACACAGATTGCAGAATCACATCAGTTACACATCCATTGATTTACATATTGCCATACTAGTGTCTGTTGTGCTCCGCTGCCTTTCCCATCCTCCACCCTCCCCCCTCCCCACCTCTCCCCTCCCCTCCCCTCCTCTCTCTCTACCCCCTCCACTGTATAACCCTGAGGGTCTCCTTCCATTTCCATGCAATTTCCCTTCTCTCTCCCTTTCCCTCCCACCTCTCATCCCTGTTAAATGTTAATCTTCTTCTCCTGCTCTTCGTCCCTACTCTGATCTTAGTTACTCTCCTTATATCAAAGAAGACATTTGGCATTTGTTTTTTAGGGATTGGCTAGCTTCACTTAGCATAATCTGCTCTAATGCCATCCATTTCCCTGCAAATTCTATGATTTTGTCATTTTTTAATGCAGAGTAATACTCCATTGTGTATAAATGCCACATTTTTTTTATCCATTCATCTATTGAAGGGCATCTAGGTTGGTTCCACAGTCTTGCTATTGTGAATTGTGCTGCTATGAATATCGATGTAGCAGTGTCCCTGTATCATGCTCTTTTTAGGTCTTTAGGGAATAGACCGAGAAGGGGAATAGCTGGGTCAAATGGTGGCTCCATTCCCAGCTTTCCAAGAAATCTCCATACTGCTTTCCAAATTGGCTGCACCAATCTGCAGTCCCACCAGCAATGTACAAGTGTACCCTTTTCCCCACATCCTCGCCAGCACTTGTTGTTGTTTGACTTCATAATGGCTGCCAATCTTACTGGAGTGAGATAGTATCTTAGGGTGGTTTTGATTTGCATTTCTCTGACAGCTAGAGATGGTGAGCATTTTTTCATGTACTTGTTGATTGACTGTATGTCCTCCTCTGAGAAGTGTCTGTTCAGGTCCTTGGCCCATTTGTTGATTGGGTTGTTTGTTCTCTTATTGTCTAATTTTTTGAGTTCTTTGTATACTCTGGATATTAGGGCTCTATCTGAAGTGTGAGGAGTAAAGATTTATTCCCAGGGTGTAGGCTCCCTATTTACCTCTCTTATTGTTTCTTTTGCTGAGAAAAAAACTTTTTAGTTTGAGTAAGTCCCATTTGTTGATTCTAGTTATTAACTTTTGTGCTATGGGTGTCCTATTGAGGAATTTGGAGCCTGACCCCACCGAATGTAGATCGTAGCCAACTTTTTCTTCTATCAGACGGCGTGTCTCTGATTTGATATCAAGCTCCTTGATCCATTTTGAATTCACTTTTGTGCATGGCGAGAGAAAGGGATTCAGTTTCATTTTGTTGCATATGGATTTCCAGTTTTCCCAGCACCATTTGTTGAAGATGCTATCCTTCCTCCATTGCATGCTTTTAGCCCCTTTTTCAAATATAAGATAGTTGTAGTTTTGTGGATTGGTTTCTGTGTCCTCTGTTCTGTACCATATCTTTCTTTTCTTGATGTTCCCATTACAGATATATTATGTCTTTTGTAGTGTCCCACAGTTCTTGTATATTCTGTTCTGTTTTCTTCATTCATTTTTCTCTTTACTTTTAAATTTTGCAAATTTCTGTTGACATATGATTGAGCTCACTTTCTTTGCTTGTGCCAGTCTACTGATGAGCCCATAAAAGGCATTCATCATTTCTCTTGCCTTTTTTTTAAGTTTTATTTTTTAGTTGCACATAATACCTTTATTGTATTTATTTATTTTTATGTGGTGCTGAGGGTCAAACCCAGGCCCTTGCACATGGTAGTCAAGTGCTCTACCACTGAGCCACAACCCCAGCCCCTTTTGCCTTGTTTTTTATGTGTAGCTCTTCATTTTGATTCTTTTACCGAGTTTTCATCTCCCTGCTTGTATTACCTATCAGTTCTTCTTTGAAAACTAGCATGTACCTAATCATACGTATTAATGGGATTCAGTGTGATATTTCCATACATGCATACAGCATTCATTGATCATATCCAACCTTTCTTCTTCTACCCTTGCATCTCCCCACACCTTTCCCAGACTTTAGTGATCACTATTCAAATCTTTCTTTATAATTCACTTTTCCCATCAGAGTCCTTAGCATATTAATTATAGTTATTTTAAATTTCTGATCTGATAATACCATGTCTGAGTCTGGTTCAGATGATTGCACATTTTCTCCTTACATGCCATGTCAAGTGCCCAGTGTTGGCTACCTAGCCCAGATTCTAGGGATTTCCAGGAGGGATGGGGACTCATCTGAGCATGTAATGCCTGTGTGACTGAAATTGTCGAAGTTCCACATTCCCCAAAGAAAGCAGATGTTCCTCATAAATCACATTATTTGCATGAACTATCTAGAAAATTGGTATAGCATGGTTCAATACCTGACATTTACAACACTCTAATTAGTTCTAACATTTTAAGAGCTTGGTCAACAGAAACCAGGCAAGGGCCATTCATGAAATAAGACCTTTTAGGGAATGTACAAGGCTTCAATAACTCAGGCCTGCTGAGTTCACTATTTTCTGCACAGCTAATAGCTCAATCTAGAAATCAGTCTTGTAAATAAGGAAAGACTGACAATCAGATAAAAACTTGAACAAAGAAAAAATTTGCTTTTTCATGTTTAGCTCTTCACAAAAAGGCCAGCATACAAAGACAGTACTTTTCATAAAGTAAATAGAATGATGTATGAGAATCATTGTAAATTATAAGTAAAAAGTATTGAGACTTGAAAATTCTTAGGCACAGCATAAATTGGTTTCCAGTAAAGCAAAATGAAATGACTTTTAAGTTTATAAAACAAATGCAAACTAAAGCAACACTGAGGTAATATTTTTCACTTATCTGATTAATAATTGGCATGGGAAATCTTTAATTTTATATTCTTTGCAATTATACATGCACTATTTATACCAAATGCAAATATGAATAATTTTCATGGGGATTATTTTGGCATTCCTTAAAATTCCAAATGCAAATATTCTTTGGCTAAATGTTTCATTTTTTAGGAATTTGTGATATAGATAAACTCATAATTATGAAGCAACCTAAGTTAGGGATAGCAAAAGATTGGGAAAAAATCTGAATGTTATTAATAGGACACTGGTTAAATAAAATATATCACATATATGTTAAAACTACTGGATATGTTTTAAGCTTCATGATGCATATTGCCACAAGAGTAAAATCCATTTTTGACCACACTCTAAAGACACTACGGTTGTTCTAGGAGTAAAGACTATCATCAATTCAGGTGTTTTATACTTGTTAGCTATATAGAACCTTAGATGGCTTTGAAGTTCCTTATGTGTAATCATTTGAGTTATGAAAGATGTATAGAGGTTAGGATTTATTTAGGTATAACTTGTTTTCTAAGACCAGAAAAAAATTGGGGACATAGCTATCATGGGGTTATCTTTCATTACTCAATCTAGTTTAGAAAGCACTTACCAACCTCATTGATTCATGTTCTGCATTTTTTGTTTTAAAGACAGATGCACATTATTCCATACTGTCACTCCTTCTGTGTCTGTCTGATTCTCCTTCAAACAGCAATTATGTGGAAACACCAAGAGAGAAAGAAGTGGGTATGTTACCAGATAGTTTAACATAAGAAATAAAAGAGAAACTGATTTTATTGCTTAATTACTTAGACATTGAGATTTTATTAAAAGTCGTAAAAATCTGAAACTATTTCTGTTGCTTTGGATGCCATTGCAAATTTTCACTTAAAATACAAGTTCTGACTTTGTACGTTAAACTACCTTTGTTCCATAAAGAGAAATTCACTTTTGAGAATGAGTTAATTAAAATGTAAAATGTATTAGAGCATTAGTTTGTTTCAAAGTTTTGAAGTTTTGTTTCCTGAGTGTGTTTTATTTTGAGGTTTGTTTAGACTTTTTTCCTGCAGTTTTATGGTTTTTTCCCAGATATTTATGATAAAGCTGAAGAGATTCTTCTGTTGTATTTCAGAAAAGAAAGATGATTTTGACTGGGGAAAATACTTGATGGAAGGTGAAGAAATTGACCTTGGTCCAAATGTGGACACACCAGTAAGTGGCATTGGTTTTGCTATTGAAAATGTAAATACATGCCTAGGTGATATAGATGATTTTGGTGGATCGTTCTGCCCTGAAGCATCCTAGCTGAAACAGGAACACTCTGCACTGGGTAGAAGTTTATTATGGAAGACTAGTTAAGATTCTGTACTGGGAAGCTGAGTGGGGTAAACTCAACTATCCCTTGAACAGCAGTGATCTTGGATTTTTTGCCATCCAAAATCATTCTGTTCTTAAAATAGGCACTTAAAGTTTTTTTTTTTGGTTTGTTTGTTTGTTTGTTTGTTTTGTATCAGGGATTGAACCCAGGCACTGAGCCATGTCTTCAGCCTTTTTTTATATTTTATTTAGACACTGGGTCTCACTGAGTTGCTTAGGACCTCGCTAAGGTGCTGAGTCTCGCCTTGAACTCGCAATTCTCCTGCCTCAGCCTCCTAAGCTGCTGGGTTTATAGGTGTGTGCCACTTAATCCGCAGCACTTACAAAATTTAGGGAAAAGTTTCATTTGGTTTTTTGCTTTTCTGTCCGTGTTGCTCAGTTTTTTTCTTGTGACATCCTTCCAATTTTTGTTTTTCTTGTGAAATCCTCTTAATTTTTAAAGTAAATAGCTCTAACTGTTGTACTCTCTTTGAAATGTGTATTTCCTTTTTAAATCAGAATTGGTCTGACGACAGTGAAGAAGAGGATGCTCAACAGCCCTTAAGCAGGGAGGACTCTGGGATCCAGGTGGACAGGACCCCATTAGAAGAACTAGATCAAAATAGAAATCTGGGGCCCCGAGTCAGTTGGAAAGGTATTGTATGTCATTCATTGGCTGCTGGTATTTTCTGGGATATTGGTAAGGTCTGCCCCTACTTAAAAAATAAATCTTAAACCATTAGTAGACTTGTTTATACAGTGCCTAAAATGTAGCACTATAGCAATGTCTTGTTTTGCTCCTCAGCACCACTTAAAAAATAAAAAGCAGTAATACTGGTAGCACCATAGAATTAATATTGAAAAGGGATTTAGAATGCAGGCTTTTTTTAGAATGCAGTGCCTCACATGTGCAAGGCAAGCGCTCTACCACTGAGCTATAGCCCCAGCCCTGCATTTTTTTAAACAGTTCTGATAACTTTATTAGTTCTAAATGTTCCTATTTATTTATTTATTTTTGAATTTGCTGATATTAGTGTTTAAATAAGTAGAGCTGTACTATTTACTTTTTAAATGCCAACTTTTTCAGTCTTTTTGTGAGGAACTCTGAACTGATAGAGTCTAGAAAGAGCCAGAAGCAACTTTAGAGATTAGATCATCTATTTCTTTGTTTCTTTTTGGAGATGAGGAAACAAAGAATGGTTTTCCCATAGCTGCAAACTGTGAGTCCGATACCAACAGCCAGACCCTGTCCTCTGCACTTGGATCTTGCCAGATAGGCACAGAGTATTTAAAGCTGACTCCAGGTCTCTTGATTTTCTGCTTACACCTCCTTTTTTTTTTTGACTTTTGACTTTTGAGTTGGACCTCCAGAGAAGAGAGTCACTTAGTTCAGAGCACATTATCATCACATTATCATCTCTAGTCTATTTTAGGGCTTTTTACTTTATTTCCTTTTCTTCTGTTTTGTTTTGTTTTGTTTCTGATTCTCTTATTTCCCTTTCTCTGCCAACCCAGTTATAGATACTATTCTAATGTATTTGCTATCTGTCTTCTTATTAATGAGTTCTTGTGAAACACATGTACTAGTGTGTGTGTGTGTGTGTGTGTGTGTGTAATACATTTAAATTACATAACTAGGGCTGCTGGGGTGGAGTGCTTGCCTAGCTGCTCGCCTAACATGTGTGAGCCCCTGGGTTCGATCCTCAGCACCACATAAAAAATAAGTAAATAAAATAAAGGTATTGTGTCCAACTACAACTAAAAAGTAATATATTTTTTAAAAATTACATAACAGGTATTAGATTATGTGTAAATTTTCTTCTGTTGATCTTTTTATTCAACTTTGTTTTAAAACCTGTCCATGTTTGTTTCTGCCTGCTGCGTAGTATTCCAGTCTGCAGCTACCGTATTTCTGTCACTTGTTCCCTTGATGATAGGCCCTGAGTTCCTCTGCAATCCCAAGTTCTCTGCCTGTCCTTGACCTTTGTGAGAATTTGGCTGGGATACAAGTTTCTTCTCTTATAATCTTATCAATACTTGATAAGATCCATACTTGGGACTTGGGAATTGTTTTCATCTGCATGAGTCTGACTACTAGTGATTTAGGGACAGCTCTTGTTATTTTTTGGTGTCTGGGACTTGCCCTTCTATGAATTGCTTGCCCTTTGATATCATTTACTTGCTTTTCTTTTGGACATCGTATCCTTTATGCTCTCCCCAGCCACCAGAGATCTTGGCAGATATTGATATTAATTCCCAGGTTTTAGACATTGCAGGTATCTTTTAGTCAGTCATCTGTTAACATGAAACTCCTTCATGATGGTGATGGTTTTCTGGTATCAGCTTGAGTATGTGGCCTTTATCAGATTACAGCAATTTATCTTATATTTCTTTTTTTAAATAAGTCTTTAATCACAAATAAATATTGAATTTTATCATATGCTGTTCTTTTCCTGAGGCAATTTTATAATTTTTCTTTTTTACCCTATTACTATGTTAATAAATTGTCGGATATTGAATCATCTTTGAATTCCTAAGCTAAACTTCTTTGATTGGGTTTTTTTTTTAATACCTTATTAGGTTTTTTAGGTATTTTTCAATGTTTTTTTTTTCCCCCCGTACTGGGGATTGAACTCAGAGACACTCCAGTGAGCCACATCCCCAGCCCTTTTTTGCATTTTATTTAGAGACAGGGTCTCACTGAGTTGCTTAGTGCTTCTATCTTTTGTCTTTCATGAATTATTTATCATATTTTTACCTGGTTTACCATCATACTTATATTAGCCTCATAACTTTCCCTTATTCTCTTTTCTGGAACAACTTGTGTAAAATAGAGATTCTTTGGAATTTAGTACAAGTCTTAAGGCTTTGGGGATGTTTGGAAAAGTTTTCTGTTACCATTTCAATTTCTTTAATGGTTATTGGACTATTTGATTTTATCATTTATCATTTTATTCATGGAGTCATTTTAAAATTGAGCAAATGTTTTTTACTTTCTAGCCAATGGGATTTAATTAAATATTATATGTTCTGTGTATGTGGTTTTAAATATGTCATGGTAAAGAGCCATTTTCAGGTGTGTTCTGTAATGGAGTTGTAAGTCCAAATATCACGACCAAGTATTATTATGTTAACTTTTATAACCTATACTTATTACATTTCTTTCCAACAGATGAGCCAGATGGCCGAAGCTGGTTAGAACAGCATGTGGTCCATCAGTACTGGACAGCCAGACCCTCACGAATTCCACATAGTTTGCATTTACACTCCAATTTAGCTGCTGTATGGTAAGAAGTTAAACTTTTCATTTAATGTAATGAAAGAATAAAATTTGATGTTTAGACATTTGGCTTTGATTTGTGATTTAAATCAACTACTTACCTGAAATCTAAGCTTGTTAGTTGTTGTTTTAAGACAATTCTAATTGAACAATTTTTAAATAACGATTTAAAACAAAAGTACATTTACTTTTTTACAGAAGACACATTGCATAGTCGTAAACATTTGCCTAAATCAGCAATAAACATAATAGTTGGAAACACCCTGAAAATGCTTCTCTGAGAGTATTTCAGTGTGTAAAATGAATATGGAGGGCATTTATCATTTTATTTGCTGATTGATTACTAGCTGAGGTAGCACAAACTTGCTTGTGTTCATTGAGGTAAGTAACTTTACCAAGTTAGAAACTTAACAGTTGACATTTATATTTGCTCTCTACTAGGGATCAACACTTGTACAGTAGTGATCCATTGTATGTTCCAGATGATAGAGTTTCTGTTACTGAGACACAGGTTATTCGGGAAACTCTATGGTAAGATTTCTTAACTATTTGGTAATAATTTCTTAATTTATTAGTGAGAAGCAAAACTTTTTTTGTAAAGGAAAGTGCTCATAAGTTTTCCACATGCAAACTAGAAACTGGCCGTTAGAGATGAAGTTCAGACTTTGGATTTGACTCTGGAAATTGGAGATGTTGACATTTGCTTCTTTTCCATTTTAAGTAGTTTAGTATATGATTTTATTGAATTAGGACATCATTTTTTTTTTTTAACTATCTGAGCTCAAAGCAAAGTTTGTTGTTGACTCCTTTTACTGGGCAGTGCATTGATGAGAATTGCCTGTACCAAATCCCGTGGCCGGGAATCTAACAAGGCTTGTAGTGCTGTTATGGCTGAGTGCCCAATCTTGGTGCTCCTGCCGAAAAGTGTGAGACTGACAGTTTCAGGCCTGGGATGGTCTCTGGGTCATCAAATATGTGGGAAAGGTGCTTTGATAACACTGTTTCAGACTTCTCCCTAAGATGATGTTGAGATATTTTGAGTCTTAAGGTAATCAAAGATTGATGTTTTTCATTTTCTTATCATCTGACCTTTTTTGTCCCCTAGTTCTGAATCTTTAATTAAAAATTTCTATAATAGATATTTTTCTAGACTTAACATATGTCTTTTATTTCATTTCAGGTTACTTTCAGGGGTAAAAAAACTCTTTATATTTCAGTTGATAGATGGGAAGGTAACTGTGAGAAACAATATTATAGTAACTCATTTGACACACGTAAGTTATTTGTATTTATTTTAATTTAAGAATTCAGCTAGAAGCTGGTGTTGTAGCTCAACAGTAGAGAACTTGCCTCATACATGTGAGGCACTGAGTTTGACCCTCAGTACCACATAAAAATATATAAACAAAGGTATTGTCCATCTACAACTAAAAAAAATATTTTAAAAAATTAAGCTAAATAATGGGATTTATATACACGGTGGCAGTATAACTTCAGAACATTTCACAGTGTTGGAATTAACTGTTAAATATATTTAAGATTCATAAAGCAAAATTAAGTTGTGTATCTTTACAGTACATAGGCCATTCTTTAATATTGTTTCTGACATTTTATTTCGATTTGCATTGTGTTTATTTTTTCCCCTTTTATTCTGTATTGGGAATGCGACAAACTGCAGTTGTTTTACTTATAGTTTATATGTATTTTTAAAAAGTATAAGTACAGGCACAGTGGCACATGCCTGGAATTCTAGCAGCTCAGGAGTCTGAGGCAAAGGGATGGTGGCTAAAAAGTATAAGCCACAATTCTGTATTGCATAGAAATTTATGCTCATTGTTTCTCTTAAATATAAAACTAGATGTTCATCATTGTACTGCTTTGTTTTCTGCTAAACATGGTGTTTAAAGCAGTCACAAAAACAATATTTTACAATTAGGGGGCAATGAATTTGAATGTTTATGGAAGTCTGACTTTATATAATTGGGGTTTGTTTCTATGATAGAGCTGTTTACGATCTGTGCTGGAACAAATTGCAGCATATGGCCAGGTTGTATTTCGACTCCAGGAATTCATTGATGAAGTCATGGGACACAGCTCCGAAAGCCCATTACCTGGAAGTGGTTCCATTCCTAAAAAGTCATCTGAAGCTCCCTTTAGAACCTACCAGGCTTTCATGTGGGCCCTGTACAAATATTTTATTAGCTTCAAAAAGGAACTTACAGAAATTGAGAAGTCCATCATCAATAATGGTATTTAAATATCCTTTAATTCATGAGATACATAACTCTTATTTGAAATGCCATTTAAGTTATTTAATAGTATAAGGTTTGAAAGTTACGTGGCAAATAAGTAATTCTCATGCATTCAATTTTTAAGTTATTTTTGAATTTATAGTTTTAAGCCTTTCATATTCCTAAAAATTCAAAAAGTGTAGAAGGATTTAAAGTGAAATTGTTTTGCCTGTTCAGTTCCCCAGCCAATCAATTCCCTTCCACAGAGATACCAGATCCTCAGCCTTCTCATGTACCCTTCCAGAGCAGTTGAAACATGCGCAAGTAGTGCAGACATAAACAAATACCTCGTAGTCAGTACACTACTCTCTTCAAGTTGTTTTCTGACTTAAATTTTGAGGATTATACCATAAAAGTATGTGAGAACCTCCTAATTCCTTTTTATAAATTGGTATATCATTGTATGGCTATCTCATAGTCTTAGCCCCCCTTGATGGACATTTAGATTTTTTCTACTCTTTTGCTCTTACCTTCCCAGCTGCATGATAACTGGTTACACATTTTAGTAATCAGACTCACAGAGCATATTATCTGTGGGGTAGAGTCTTAAAAATTTAATTGCTGAATCAAAGAGTATCTGATGGCATGTGCGATTTTACTGGATTTTTTTCACCTTGCTCTCCAGTGAGGTATAGATAAGTACATTTCTGCTCTTGCTAGTAACATATATAAACTACCTCTTTCCTCAATCTCTCAACAACAGTGTGTTATCACACTTTTTGGTCTTCACCAATATGACAAGGATTAAATAGTCATCGGTGTAGTTTTTTGGTTTTTCTTTCTTTTAATTCCTTCTATTTTCAACTACTGAAAAGAGTGGTATACAGAGTTCTCATGTGCCCATCACCCTTCTTCCCCCAGTGGTGAAACTTTATATAATTACAGTGTAGGATCAAAATTGGGAAAGTTATATGGTATAACACAGTACCCAGTCTGTATGGGGTCACCAGCATTACATACTTGGGGTAGTGGGGCATAGTATCTTTGTGATCTTGCCATTTTATCTCTTAAATCCATACACCCACTTCCATATCCAGGACAAGGAATTGGGCCTACCACATGGGAATTTGCTCAAGCTGTGCCATTCCTTTATAGTCACAGCCTCCCCTGCCCCCTCATTAAAATGGTAGACCACATAAAGGAGTCTATTCTTGTTTTATCCGTATATAGTTTTAATCCACATTCTTTCATTATAAGTGAGGTTGAGTCTCTTTCCATTTGTTTAAGAATCACTGTTTTTTCCCTTTCTGTGAGCTGTAGATTTCATGATATATTATTTTTCTGCTGATTTGTCTTTCTCCTTGACTTCAGGGGTTATTTTTTCCTGAGGGAAATTGACTTCTTGTGATGTGAAATTAAAACCTGTTTGGCCATGCCTTTTCATAAGCCAAAGAAGTGGCTTAGCATTGTTAGCAATTATTTCATATTTTGGACCCAGATGTTTTTCCTTGCTGTTGAATTTGACTTTATTGATGCTTGCAGATACCACCATAACTCTTGCAATAGTAGTGGACAAGCTCTCACCTCGATTGGCTCAGCTCAAGGTTTTGCACAAAGTGTTTAGTACTGGAGTAGCAGAAGTTCCCCCTGACACTCGGAATGTTGTCCGGGCATCTCACCTGCTCAATACCCTGTACAAGGCCATTCTTGAATATGACAATGTTGGAGAAGCCTCTGAGCAAACTGTAAGTGGAACCTCTACTTGGTGTACAGTGCATGGTGAAGGAGTGGTATATAATTGTTGCAGTTATTTATTAAGTGATGTTTATATCATGATGTGTCAGACAGTTGCTTAGAGTTTTAAAGTTAGCTTCCAAATTCAAGACTGTAGGAAACTACCTTTTTAGCTCTAGTTGCCAGGATCTCCAGAAGAATGAGGCAAGGACAAAGCCTCTTGTAGATACTTGTATTAACTCTTTTTTACATAAAAAACACACCTTTATGATAGGAGGCATCTAAAGTAGTAACATTGATAGAGATAGTAGAATGGTGACTACTGGGGGCTGGGGAGGGAGAATGGGGACTTGTTTAATGGGTGCAGAGTTTCAGTGTTACATCATGAACTAGTTCTGGAAATCACTTAAGTACATTTAAAAACAGTTAAGGGCTGGGGTTGCGGCTCAGTGGTAGAGCATTTGCCTAGCATGTGTGAGGCACTGGGTTCGATTCTCAGCACCACATATAAACAAAGGTCCATCAACAAATAAAATATTTTTTAAAAAGTAGAGAAGTCCAGACACTTTTTTAAAGGCATTTTGGAAATGTTTAGGCCTCATCTCACCCTAGTAGCAAGAGCTGAGAGCACTGACTGTGCACATTCTGCTCCGTAGGTCTCCCTCCTATTCTCTCTCTGGGTGGAAACAGTGCGGCCATACCTGCAGACTGTGGATGAGTGGATTGTGCATGGGCACCTGTGGGACGGCGCCAGGGAGTTCATCATACAGAGGTGCAGCCAGCCAGCAGCACGGGGGATGTTAGGTGTTGGCTTCACTTGTTTGTTTCCATGTCAAAACTGAATGCTCCAAGCTTCACATGGTACTGAGAGTGCAGTTTGAATGACAGAGCTGTGTTGCCATCATAGCATAGTTATGTTCTATTTGATCTATAGAAGATGTAAAATACCAGCCAATTAAAAAAAATTTTGTCTAGTTATATGTCACTCACAGCTTTTCATAGCAATTGATTTTAGAATAATTTTAAAATGTACACTGCATCCCATAAAATGAAGTTAGATGATATGAAATGGTTCTAACTATTCTCATTATAAATTATCAGTAAGATAAATGATATGAGGGGCTGGTTGGTGGCTCAGTGGTAGAGCACTTGCTTAGCATGTGTGAGGCACTGGGTTCAATTCTCAGAACCACAAATAAATAAATGAATAAAATAAAGGTTCATGAACATCTAAAAAAATTTTTTTTAAAATTATAGGATATACCTCTAATATATTTATTTCTCAGAATAAGCAACTAAATTCTTATCCTTTAGCTTGTTAATATAACAAGTAAAGAAAATATTAATCCATTTATAATGATTCCCCTTCCATAAACTTATTTTTTCTGGCAAAATTTTATAAACTGCAGGTGACAGCTGTACTCTGAATAGTTTTCAGTTATGCAGCCTGGTTAGATTGTGATTTCTATTGATAGCTATCCATTGAACACCCCAGGAAAGGCACCTTTAAGTCCTGGAGCCTAGAAAGGTAACAGTTTGCACAATGTTCTCTTTGGAGGAACCAGCCTTGCTTCAGCTGAATCTTAGTAAGATTTATATCTATGGTAAGATATATAAAGATATATATCTTATGTATATTAGATACATATATCTTTATATATCTTAGCATAGATATAAATCTTACATCTAATTTTATATCTGTGCTAAGTCCTGTTTCATCAGCTCATAGGAGAATTTTTGTGAAAATTGGATTCTGATTTTTCTTCTAAGGCAATGAGTGAGTTACAGTTTAAAATTTGTTTGAATCTCCTTAGGAACAAAAATGTTCCAGTAAATCACAGAGACTTCTGGTATGCAACTTACACATTATATAGTGTATCGGAAAAGACAGAGAATGAAGAAAAAATGAATGACAATGCTAGCGCAAGTTCTGGCAGTGACCAGGGTCCCTCCAGCAGGCAGCACACCATGGTGTCCTTCCTCAAGCCTGTCCTCAAGCAAATCATAATGGCCGGCAAGTCAATGCAGCTGTTGAAGAACCTGAGGTGTGCGGAGAGCACTGCGAGCCAGGTGGCAGCCAGAGGTAGCCCATCTCTACCTCACCGTCCTCCTCAGCATCCGGTCCATTGCTCCCCAGTCACTCCTGTCACCCTGAGAGTCCTACTATTTCGTAGTTTGAAAATCACTGGAGCTTTTTATTTTAATGGAATTTACACCATGATTGAATGAATAATCATGGTACTCTTGATTGAAAAACTGATTGTCCTCATTGGGAACTTTTAGCATTTTGTTTAGAAAGACAGTAATAATAAATTCCTCACTCTCAATTCCTTAGACCTGGTTCTTTAAAAATATAATTTTCTCACATTTCTTGGTTCGGTGCAGTGTTTAACTCTTGTGCACCATGGCCTCTGGCAGAGAGGAATTTTCCAGTGAGCAGTTCAGACCTGATTATAGAGTTTGAGAAAATCTTTATATGATTTTTGTGTTTTTTTAATACAATTTAAGTAATTTACTTAAATATTTATCAGCTGACTAAAAAGGCTTAAAAGTCAGATGTGACCAGATGTATTTAGCTTATAAATCACCTCCGTATTATTATATTATTTCAGTTTATCATATCTACTTTAAATAATATTTTTACATTGCACAGTATTTCTTTTTTAATTGAACAGTAAGCTATTAAGAGCTATCCAGGGCCAGTGTTGGTAGGGTTTTTTCCAGTGAAATTTGATTCCTACAAGTCTTATTGTAGCATTATACAGTATGGTAGTAACTTACCTTTCAAGCATCCTGCTTCAGATATTAACTTTGTTCAGAATAAAATCAGCTTGTATGTGTGATATTTAACCATGAGCTTTTCAGTTGTTTAACAGGATATAATATGTTTAGTTTTGCTGTACTACAAGGGTAAAAGAAATAGGGATAGTCCTTCATAAACCAAAGGAAAATACCAAGCTTTATTAAGATGAAAGTCTTCCATATTTGTTGATAGTATTTATGAGAACATGATTTACCTTACATATTTCTTCATATTTCAGACGCAGACAGAAAAAGCTTATACACCCTCTTTCTGGAATCTGTACAGTCACGTCTTCGACGTGGAGAAGATTCCACTCCACAGGTCCTTACTGATCAACAGGCAACCAAAGAGAACCTAATTAAGATGCAGTCCATAGCTGAAAGGCATCTTGAACTGGATGACATTCATGACCCACTGCTGGCCATTAACTTTGCAAGGTGATACACACCTGCAAGATTTTCAGTGGTTGAAATGGCAACATCTGTACAATATTTAGTAACTGTTTATTTCTGCCAGGTAGGGCTTTCCAGAATTAAAAACAAAAACCCTTGTAGCCTCTCCTTCCTAATGAACAGAATGCAAGAAAATATGCCTTTACCTATGTAAGATATATAATTGGTCCTTCTCATTGTGTGCAAAAGTTTACAGATTTGGCCTTGCTGGTGTCTCTATACCCTTAGGCCCCCAAAAGTGCTATGGCTTACCCAGATATGCTCCTGAAGTCTGGGGAGACATTGGACACACACTGAGTCAGGGTCTTCCTGTGCATAAAATGTGTCTTGGGCTTATGATGCTTTTAGGCACTTAGCTCAATGGAATAAGCCATTAATGTCCACATGGTGTCACACTGTCTGATGACCAGTATTTGCTGCATGCAGCCCTAATGGAAGGACCAACCCCAGAACCTGACCTTAAAGGTGGCAGCAACTCTGAAAGGATGTTTTGGGGAGAAAGGGTTTTCTTCCTGTAAAAATCGCTAATCTTAAGACAAAAGGTAAAAGTAGGACTCTAGGTTTTAAGAGAATTCTGTTGACAATAGCGCATGAAAATTGAAGCCTCACATTTTTATTTTCAAGGTTGTATTTGGAGCAGAGTGACTTTCACGAGAAGTTTGCTGGTGGTGACATATGTGTGGATAGATCATCAGAATCTGTAACTTGCCAGACTTTTGAATTAACATTGAGATCTTGCCTCTATCCTCATATTGATAAGCAGTACCTAGCTTGTTGTGGAAATCTCATGCAAACCTTAAAAAAAGATTACAGGTAATCAGGAGTAAGTTGGTTTTGGAAATAGTTAGTAGTTTATTGTTCTTTTAAGAACAGTTGGGTTGTTTTGGTTTGGTTTTTCTGAGGGATGCTCAGTGCTAGGAATCCAGCCCAGGGCCTCATATAAAATTATTTAAAAATCTGTTTTCAAGTTAGTTTTCATTAGAGTAGGAAATGGACATGTAGTAAGCACACATCCAGTTGGGATCAGTTAGCCATCAATATATTCTTATCTGAGTTGTGAAATTTAATTATTTACTTCTGAGAATCTGTCCCAAAGAACTTATACAAAAATGCTCATCACAAAATTGGCTATTAGGATGAAAAACATGAAACTACTTGGTAATAGATGACTAGTTCTTTTAACTATGGTAAAGGACTAGTGTAAACTGTAAAGGACGTGTATAAAGGACTAGTGTACACGTGTAAAGAACATGTGTAAGCTTCATAAAGTTCATAAAAATTATGTCAATATAGAGTTTTAAATAACATAAACTGTCCTTATAGCTTAAAAGGCAGGATACATATGATAAAAATTAGATGTTTTAAAAATCATTGGAGAAAAGACTGGAGTAAAATACTCCCATGTATTAACAGCAGAAATTCACCATGGAGACATGGTGGCACACGTTGTTAATCCCAGTGACTTGGGAAGCTGAGGCAGGAGGATTGCAAGTTCAAGGCCAGTCTTAGCAATTTAGTGAGACTCTTTCTCAAAATTTAAAAATTAAAAAAAGGAAAAAAAAAAAAGAGCTAGATATATATGTAGCTCAGTGGTAAAGGGCCCTTGGGTTCAATCCCAGTACCAAAATAAAGAAATTCACAATGGATGATAGCATTTGGATTGGTTTTTGTTCATTTCGTTTCATATTTGTGACTTTGCCTAATTTTCTATAATGTTATAGAAAGGTATTTCTTTCTAGTTATTATACTATTTTATTATTGAAAAAAGTCTTTAATATTTCTAATTTTAATAAATGTAGACTGTAAATCTATTTCATAAAGGTGGTGGTGTACCAAATCTGGAATTGATCTAGAATCCTGCCTTATAAACTTAAAAGATCTTTCTGTCCCTATCTTCTCTCCATTCAGATTGGTTGAGTACTTGCAGGCCATGAGAAACTTTTTCTTAATGGAGGGTGGAGATACCATGTATGACTTCTACACATCAATTTTTGATAAAATAAGAGAAAAGGAAACCTGGCAGAATGTTTCTTTTCTTAATGTCCAACTCCAAGAAGCAGTAGGACAGCGTTATCCTGAAGATAGTTCACGGTAAAATATGTGAGGCACCTTTTATGTTAAGTAGTGTAAAGTAAATCATGGGCCATATGAGTTTTTACATGTATTAGGCATTAGCCCCATGAGTTTTACTAATTATTTTACATATAAGAATATCATAGTTGGGCACAGTGGCACACGCCTCTCAGGGATGGCTTAGAGCTCTTCTGATTCTTGGCCTCACTCCCTTCTAACACAAAGCTCTTCACCCTCACAAGGGACTTCTACACTCATGCTCAGGCCCCTTCTAAGTTTCCCAAACAGGTGGGCCAAGCTTCATCTCTCAAGGATTAGAGCCTTTTTTGTCTGGTTCTATTTTCTAAACTTCATATCTTATATACATACATGCACATCATATGCTTTCTCCTACCATAGTTCACATTTCAGGGATTTGGAAGTATTTCTGGCTTCCCCAAGTGCTATTTCCCTCTCTTCCATCTGTGGCCTGGCAGTGATATGCTTGCTTGGTGAAGCGCTGTCTCCCCTGTACCATGAAAGTGACTGCCAGTCTGCATTGGGCAGGGAGTCCCTGGAGGAAGGAGAAATGGGCTATCAGGACTGTTCTGAGAGAATCACATGAAATAAAGACATGGGCCAGAGTATTGCCTGGCGCCAGAACATTCCCAAATTCTGTGTTACTGGCTTGCTTTCTTGTGGGAATTCTATTTAGACCCTTCTCAGGAACACATGGATGAAGCAGTGTGCGGCACCTTGCTACAGAAGCAGATGGCATTCTTTCACTCTGGCTCTGGAAACCTCTGCACTCGATGCATGCCTAGCTCACTGAGGAGGCTGCTCTTCTGTTCTCTCCCCCACCCCTGAGCAGAGGAGTATATTTTCTTAGCCTGTGCCTGACTTTTACCAGAATTAAGCTCCGAGCCTATTCTCCAACTTTGTCTTTTTTTTCTAATTAATTTATTATCATTGTTAAGTATCTCTTTTATAACTAGCCCTTTGTTTAAAATCTTTACTCCTCTTCCTTATTTCTAAAACTAAATTCTGTTCTCGAATACATGCTAGAGAATGAATTTGTTAGCATAATTGAATTTTATGAAATGCAAATCTCTGTTAAACGTTACATAAATAAATGCTGAAATGCTAATTGTTTTTGAAAAGATCATTTTTTATGTGAACATAATATTGTCACAAACTAAACCTGAAATTTTTTGTTTAGACTATCTATATCTTTTGAAAATGTTGACACAGCTAAGAAGAAACTACCTGTTCATACTTTAGATGGTCTGACCCTGAGTTACAAGGTGAGTGTGGGTATTCCCTTTACAAACATTGTTTCCTATTAAAACTAAAAATGTAAACATAGATTCCTTTCTTTTCTCATTCTGTATTTGTTTTCATAGGTCCCATGGCCTGTAGACATTGTTATAAGTTTGGAATGTCAAAAAATTTATAATCAGGTGTTCCTTCTCCTATTGCAAATAAAATGGGCAAAATATAGTCTGGATGTTTTACTATTTGGTGGTAAGATTATTTATTTATTTGTTTGTTTATGTGTGGTGCTGGGAATTGAACCCAGGGTGTTGTGCATGTAAGGCAAGCACTCTACCAATTGAGCTCTATCCCTAGCCCCAAGATTTGTTTATAACAGATAAACTGCAATTCAATTTTAGTCCTGAAGAAAAAGATTGGTATTTTTTGATGATTTTTTAAAATGTGTAAACAGACGCCAACCTAATGTGTATTTATAGCATCAGTTTAATGGGCCTAAAATAGCTGAATGAAATATCAAGTTGGGTGCACTGGCATGTACCTGTAATTAAAGCAACTTGGGAGGTAGGAGAATTCAAAGTTTGAGACCAGCCTGAGTAACTTAGCAAGATACTCAGCAACTTAGGGAGATCCTATCTCAAATAAATAAAATGGACTGGGAATGTAGCTCAGTGGTTAAGTGTTCATGGGTTCAAAACCCAGTACTGAAGAAAAACAGGGAGGGAGGGAGGGTAAAAAAGAAAAGAAATATCAAGAAGTTGTACATGGGGTTTATCTGAAATTCAATAACAAAGTAGGAATTTAGCCCAAATAAATATTCTTTTTAGAGTATGCAAAAGTGCCAAATGACAAGTTAATGGGACTTTTACATGTTTCATGTGACAGTGGTAACAAATGATACAGGGAACTCTTGACATTTCGTCTTCTAAAGGCACTGAAGTTGGGTCCTAGTGTGTCCCTGTCATGGTGCTCCAGCAATGCCTATGCCTCGTACCCCAGAATTCTCTCTATGTAAGAGTGTGGTGGGGTTTGAGCCAATGTGCTTTTCACCTATTGTGCTCGTTCAATCTTTTACAGAACTTGCAAATACTACTGAAAAATCACAACTTAAAGAAGGCCTGTTGAGTGAGCAAGACGCAGTTGCTCAGTTTGGATCACAAAAGGCACCAGTAGGACAGCAGATCCATCGCATGTTCCTCTTAAGAGTGAAGCTCATGCACTTTGTGAACAGTTTACACAACTACATCATGACCAGGGTTGGTATCTGCCATCTGCCTCATTTCTGTCACTTTATGTATTTATTTCTTTATAGAGCACAACCTATAAAATTTTGGCAATACAAAGTAGTCCCCAAATACTTGTAACTTATGAAAATGGGACATATACAAAATTTAATCACAGAATAAGATATCAGCGGGAGGAAATGATGTTTTTTAATTTACTAGCACTTGTGTCCAGAGACTACAACCCCTCTTGTTTCCGGCCCTTTAGCACAGGCACACTTGGAGCTCCTCTTTCTGAATTCCTTCAGAACATGCTACATTGTACACTAAATTTCATCAGTGATGATTGCTGTCCCTGGAAAATTGATTCAATATTTAGTATCGGTCCAAATCCTCAGGGCAGGGAAAGTGCCACCAGCTTAAATACTTTTTTCTCAGAAACAAGAAGTAACTCACTAAAAAGTAAATGAAACTACTTTTCTTACACATCTTAAAACTGGTTCCAGAGGAAGTTCTGAAAGAGAAGTTCCAATATTTGAACTGTAGCAGTTATTATTAGAGGCCAAAACTTCCTTGGCATTTGAAGTTTGCTTCAAAAAAAAAAAAAAAACCATCCCTTTGTTTATAACTATTCTGGTACATAAATGCTGAACCTTTCTTATTAAATGAAGGGACCCTTTGAAGCCTGTGCTTTGAGCATGAAAGACCAACTGGGTGCTCTGTGCCTCCCCATCCTGTCACCAGGCTGGCGTTAAGTTAGGCCCTTAATTATTAAAAGTGTTAAATAGGAATTTAAGTTTTCAATTACAAAAACGATGCTTATATTTATTACAATTTTCCTGATAGTTTTTTTTTTTTTTTTTAATGCATTTGCTTGTTGATTTGATGAATTTGCTCCTTCGCAACAGGAAGCCTGTTAGTCTGAAGTTCAGTGCTGAGTGCAAGTGTCTGTTCTAAAGGCTGCTGTCAGGATCAGAACATCAACACATCCAGTCATCCTTTAAAGGAGGGTGTGATTATGAAGGAAGAATTTGTGAAAAATAGAAGAGGCTGGTAGAAAGTTTTGTGTACAGCACACAGCCTTCAAAGATGAGATATGCTGATTAAGCTTTTTATTTTCTCTTCTAAGATTCTTCATAGCACAGGGCTGGAGTTTCAGCATCAAGTTGAGGAAGCCAAGGATTTAGATCAGTTGATTAAAATTCACTATAGATATTTGTCAACCATCCATGATCGATGTCTACTGAGAGAAAAGGTATGAGAGATGTTACCACCCATGTGGCCAGTGAGGCAGGAGGAAAGCTGGGCAAGTGGGAATTTCTATCTGCTTTGCAATTTTGTGATTATTAAGTTACTATCCTGCACAATCTTTTCCTAGGAAGGACAGGGTCAAATGAGGTTACATTACCTACCCCTGGAAGTTATATTTCTAAGAACAACATGAGAACTGTATTACCGTAGTCAGCATTCCCTGTGCCTTACACCTGGATTTATTTAGAAAATTAGGTCACAATTGTGGAGCAATTGTGTATTCGGCTTAATGTGAATATATGAAATTGAATAGTATCACAACCATTGATCTGAATGGCCATCCCAGGGTGGTAGCTTGCCTTCTTGGTTCCACTGTGCTGCCAGTACCTCCTAAATCGTGTGCAACAAATGATCCATTCCAAGTGAACCTGGCTTGAAGTCTGGTGCCCTCCTTATACATAGAAGGCAGTCACTGCATTGATAAGCTTTTTCTGTGATTTAATTAAATTAGGTGAAAGTGTTGGTGTCAGTGTCCAAGCACAGTTACAGAGCCTGTGTTCTGTCCCTGATTTTGATCTCCAGGTCAGCTTTGTGAAAGAAGCCATCATGAAGGTGTTGAACCTGGCTCTCATGTTTGCAGAAGGTTGGCAGGCAGGCCTGGGGGCTTGGCAGTAAGTGTACACCTCGCGACTGTCTGTCTTCTGACTGTTTCAGCTTCCCTTCTAACTGGCTTCATTTTTTTTTCATCTTGACAACACACTAATTACCACTATATTTAAGAAGAACTTAAAAACCAAATTTGAGGGATGGAAGTATAGTCAGTAGTAGAGCACTTATCTAGCATCTGAGAGTCTCTGGGTTTGATCCCTCATACTTCAAAAAAAGAAAAAAATAATAAAATCGAATTTGTTCACCTAAACTAGGCAGCATCAAGAATTGTGTGATTCTTTTTTTTTTTTTTTTGGTACCAGGGATTGAACTCAGGGTCACTTGGCCACTGAGCCACATCCCCAGCCCTATTTTGTATTTTATTTAGAGACAGGGTCTCACTGAGTTGCTTAGCATCTTGCTTTTTGCTGAGGCTGGCTTTGAACTTGCAATTCTCCTATCTCAGCCTCCCAAAGAATTGTGTGATTCTTTTATGAGGGAGAAAACATTAAGAAAAGTTTGAGGTCTTTTCATTAGGACTGGCAAATATTCTTAGATTATATGTTTTGTGTTTTATTATTTATTTATTTTTTTTACAGACACCTTCAAATGTATATAGAAGTAGAGAGGACAGCATAACAGACCTGGGTGCCTATCACCCCTTCTCCCATTTACCTGTGATGACCAGTTCTGTATCTTGTCCTCCACCTACCCCACCCCCTCACTTGCTGAATCATTCTAAAGTGGATTCTGGACACCATGCTAGATTATAGTCCAAAGTTGTATTTTGTATGCTAATAGATGTGTATTTTACTTTTTAGAATGTTTGTCATTCACACGTGTCACTTAAGAAGGGAAAAGTTCCCTACAGTCAAGGGAAATGCTGAAAAGTTGAGGATTCAGGAGCTCTTCTTCCTATTTGATAATGTCACCAATTAGGCATCCAAGGAGGTTTCTCCAAAGAGGAAAATGGGACCTCAGCTCAGCCCAGGCAGGTTCTTTCTCTGCTGAAAAGAATTTCAGAACATGTCAGAAGCAAGGCACACCAAAGATTTATTTAAGGAGAGCAAAGATGTGTACACCCAAGGACAGTGTGTGGGTACCCCTGGCTTCTCAGTGAAGAGAAGACTATAATGCACCCAGGGTTGAGCTCTCTGATAATATATATGGTTTTTCTCAGAGGAAATGTGCAAGTTCTTAGGCAAGCTTCTTTGTTTTGGGGGGAATTTTTTGGGTTGTTTTTTTGGTACTGGGGATTTAACCCAGGGTGCTTTACCACTGAGTCACACCCTATCTGTTTTTATTCTTTATTTTGAGACAGTGTCTTTCTAAGTTACCTAGAGCCTCACTGAGTTGCTGAAATAGATGTCTTTGCTTGCTTTGTTAATGCCCTCTCCAAGTGCAGAACTTCTTTCCTCATCACTGTGGGGCAGAGGAGAAAATCACTGCTGCATATGGTTTGCTAAACTTGAACTTTTTTTTTTTTTTCCCAACAAATTCTAAGAAGAAAGCAAGGGGTCAGGGGACTTAAGAAGCATATGAAAAATCATCAGTTTATGGAAGTTAGTTGATCCTGATTTATACTTAAAGCAGGAAAGTGAAAAATTGTAGATGGTGAAATTTGCCTAAGTACCCACTGATTATGTGATATTTAATATTATAGAATATTTTTAAGCAAATGGTATGGCTCTGTTTTAAAGGAAATCTTTAAAGTATACATTTATGAAATATTTATGAACAAAATGCTTTGATATCTCAGATTTGCATCTAAGTACCGGTGGGGCTGAGGATGTGTAAGCAGGGCTAGTCCCCTGAGTGCCTGCTAGAGGTGGATGAAGGCACATGGGAACCGATGGTGAGGTTCTCTCTTGTGAGGTAGTTCCCAGTTTAAGTTTCTCTCTCTCTCTCTCTCTCTCTTTTGATACCAGGGATTGAACTCAGGGGCACTTGACCACTGAGCCATATCCCCAGCCCTATTTTGTATTTTATTTAGAGACAGGGTCTCACTGAGTTGCTTAGCACCTTGCTTTTTGCTGAGGCTGGCTTTAAACTCGTGATCCTCCACTCTCAGCCTCCTGAGCCACTAGGATTACAGGCGCGTACACCATCACACCCAGCTTAAGTCTCTTTTTAATAATTCCAGATATTAGGGTTTTATATCCTGAATTTGTTCTTTATTTCACAGAGAATATATGCTTGTAAAAAATAGAAATACAGAATTATGTAAAGGAAAAGGGGATATCCCCAATCCATCCTGGCTCCAGAACTAAATATTACCTGGAAAAAGGCATGGTTTCATGAGCTACTTTGAAAAATTTTATCTTAAAGTAAGACAGGGTATTTTGTATTTTGTTTTATAATCTTCAAAGTTAGAATTTTAAATAATTAATGTACTTTTGAAATTACGCCAAAGATATTTTGTAGCCTACCTATATATTTTGTAAGCCTTTATGCATTTACATAAATTCAATTTTCTTTCCTAGAATGGAATCTATAGAGAAAATGGAGTCTGATTTTAAAAACTGTCACATGTTTCTTGTAACCATTTTAAACAAAGCTGTCTGCAGAGGATCTTTTCCCCATTGTGAGTACATCATGTTACAATATGACTACTTTTATATTTTCTTCAGCTAACTATGTATCGTTGTTTTGTTATTGATCTCATGAAGAATTTGCTTTTCTCACCATTTTCAAAACTGGAAGGTGCCATGCCTTGAATTTTGTTCTCAGAATAGCATTGGGGCATGTGAACATCAGAGGCAGATCCCTGGGACTAATGACTTTGCTTTCTAATACATCATTTATTATACCAGTAGGTTCCTAAAGCTGAAAGAAAGAAACTGGAAGAGTAATCATATGTAGACTTTGTAACTATTCATTTCCAAAAGATTGAATTTTTTTGTAAACAATTTAAAATTTCCAAGTCTGCATCTCCTCAGAAGGAAATGTGGACTTGACAATTCAGAACCCATGGTGTAAAATATAGAATGGTCTGAGGGGTGGTGGTGGTGGAGAAAAGAGAGAGTATTAATCTGTGGAAACAAAAAACTAAGTAGTATCTCTCTGTCTGACTTTTTTTGTAAAGAATATTTGCTGAGTTAAACTCTTTCCAAATTTTGCATATTCAGATTATAATACACTTATTAAGAATAGCTAAACATGCCGGACACGGTGGCACCTGTAATCCCAGCAGCTTGGAAGGCTGAGACAGGAGGATCGCGAGTTCAAAGCCAGCCTCAGCAAGGGCAAGGAGCAAAGCAACTCAGTGAAACCCTTCTCTAAATAAAATACAAAATAGGGCTAGGGATGTGGCTTAGTGGTCGAGTGCCTCTGAGTTCAATCCCTGATACACACCTCCCCCCCCCAAAAAAAAAAAAAAAAAAGAATAGCTAAACATTTAAAAAGCACCTTGTTTTGGTTATGTAAGAGGAAACAATGATGTAGTCGTCCACTCTGCTAGAAGGTGGCAGTGTGATTTGAGCAGGGTCCGGGTTTTATGTCATATCAGTCAAATGTACTTTTTCAATGAAATGCCTAGATTTTGTTTTCAAAATTAAAATGATTTGAAATAGAAACAAATCTTACTAACCTTTCCCATTTATACTTAATAAATAAAGATAATAATTCTTATTATACATTAAAAAATAAGTGTTTATTTTAAAATAGAACATGTTTAAATACTTTTCAATTTTGAGCTTATTACAGCCTTATTGAAACATTTAAAAGTATTGAAACTTTTTTTTTTTTTTTTTAACATTATTTTTCTTCTTCCCACAGTGGAATCTCTAGCACTGTCACTCATGGCTGGCATGGAACAAAGTTAGACATCCTCAGTGTAACACAGATCTCAGACTTCATCTTCATACTGATATATTTACATCATATGCAGCTAAGAAGTGAAAATCTTTTTATTTTGATTCATTTTAAACACTGTTGTTCACAGTCTAAACAAATGGATTGTAGATGTTTTCTCTGGATTATTGGAAAGTATATAGGGTGTATATATAAGAGTCTATAAATAATGCAAAGTGTATATAGGCCATTTACTCTTATATTTCCTACTATAAGCTATAAATTTATGATATTGATACTTTTAAATGTAAATTATATCATCTTTTGAAAATATAATTATTGATATTAAAAATAAGTCAATGTTCTTAAAGTTCTTTTATTCTTTTCTTGATGCTGCTATATATTGGTCACAGAAGTTTTTATATAGAGTTTTACATTCCATCTTCCCAAAAAGTTGTTTTGAATTGACAATCCTAAAAGTATTTATATTTTTATGTGACTGGGAGGTTCCAAAATGGAAAATATCAATAAATATATGAAGCCAGCTTCACCTAGGGCCAGTTGTTGGTACATAATGTTGTTAAGTATTTCTCAGCAATTTTGGGAGCTAACCAGTGCTATCTTGAATAAAATTATGCTTGCCATTCAAATTTTCCACATTTCCTTTGTATATTTCTTGGCATGTGAAGACCATGCAAAAAACAGATGGCTAACGCAGGCAGAGAAGCTCAGGAAGGACAGAGTTGAACTGCTCATTAGTCAACTAGATCAAACTGACATTTATAGTCATTTATTAAAGTACTCATCCCATAACAGTAGAATACACAGAATATTCACCAAGATAGACTGTATATTTTGAGCATAAAACATACCTTAACAACTTTTTAAAAATAGAAATACAAAGTATAACCTCAGGCCACAGTGCAAATAGAATGAACAAGCAGGGATATAGGAGGCATGGTTATTCTCCCCTCCCCCATTACTATTTGGCATAACTTTTTTTTATTAGATCATTTAGTTATACATAATATTAGGAGTTTCGACATATGTTTGGAATATAATTTACTCCAATTTAGTCCCAATTACTTTGCCTTTCTCTCTCTTCCTCTCTTTCCCTGTTTTCTTTTCACTACTTCACTGATCTTTCTTCTGTTTATTTATTGTTTTTTTATTAGTGCATTATGGATATACATAAAAGTGAAACTCACTGCTGAATTTATATATGTACATAGGAAGATTTTGTCAGATGATTCCACCATTCCTCCCTTTTCCCATTCCTCCTCTCCCCCCTCAATCCCCTTCTTGTACTCCACTGATACATCTTCTATTTTCATGGAATTCCTGCCAGCTTTTTCTTTTTGCTAGGTCAAAATAAGGGGAAAAAATAGAATAAGAGAGTCAGGTTTTATAGTAACTAGAGGGCAGAATGAATCTCAGGTCCCTCAGGAGGAGCATGCGACGGGTTTGGATAATTTTGTGGCTGGCAGGAAGGTGACAACTGTTAGACTCGGGACCAGGAAGAATGCCAGGTGAATAGTCTGGTGGGGGTGAGAGAAGGGTAGCTCACAGGCCTTTTTACTTCCCTGAGAGTCTCAAAGACATCAAGGCAGCACATGGAATTTTAATCCTTAATGATGTAAGTATGAAGTAGGGTCTGAATTCATTCTTTTGCATGTATATATTTAGTTATTCCATCACGGTATGTTAAAAAGACTATTCTTTTACCCATTGTATATTTTGAAGAGGGTAGGTGTAGCAGGGATTGAACCCAGGGGTGCTTTACTACTGAGCTACATCCCCATTCCCCCCCCCCTTTTTTTTTTCTTCTTTTTAAATTTTGAGATAGGGCCTCACTAAATTGCAGAGGCTGGCCTTGAAACTTGTGGTTCTCCTGCTCCCACTTCCCAAACAGCTGGTGTTACAGGTGTGTACCACCATGCCTGCCCCCCCCATGAATTTTTTAAAATGAATAAATTATGGATGTTGTAGGTTTGTTTCTGTACTCTTAGCACTATTCCATTCATTTTATGTCTGTCCTCATGCCACTACCACACTGTCATGATTACTATAATGTTGTAGTTTGTTTGCAAATCAGATTGTATGAGTCCTTTAATGGTCTTCTTTTTCAAGATTGTTTTGGCTATTCTGGACCTCTTGCATTTCCTTACAAATTTTAGGATCAGCTTGTGTAGCTGCCAAAAAGGCCATTGGAATCTAGATAAGGACTGCATTGTCTGTTGACCAATTTAGAAGAGACTACTACCATCTTTACATATTAAATCTTCTAATCCAGAAGCATGAAATGTCTATTCTTTATTTAGGCCTTTAATTTTTTTCAATCATGTCCTATTTTCAGTGTACAACTCTTATTTTTTTTTATTTATTCCTAAGCATTTTATTATAATTTTATTCTATTGCAAATGGACTTGTTTTCTTTATTTTATTTTCAAATTGGTAATTACTAATATGTAGAAACATAACTGATTTTTCTGTGTTGATCTTCCTACATCTTTGCTGACCATGTTTATTAACACTGATAGGCACGTGCATGCATGTATATGTGCATGTATGTTCCTTATGATTTTCTGTAATCATGTCATCTGCAAATAGAAATAATTTTACTTCTTCCAATCCAAATGGCTTATTTTATTTTCTTTCCTAATTGCCCTCACCAGAAATGGCAGAACATGATAAATAAATCTAAGAGAGAATGCCCTTGTCTTGTTCTTGACTTAAGGGGAAAGCTTTCGATCTTCCAACATAACATAGGGGGTTTTTGTTTGTTTTTTTAAATATTTTTTTAGTTATTGATGAATAGATATTTATTTATAAATGTGGTGCTGAGAATCGAACCCAGTGCCTCACCCATAATAGGCAAGCACTCTACCACTACAATCCCAGCCCCAGTTTAGCTGTGTTTTATTATAGATGCCTTTATTGATTTAAGGAAGTTTCCTCAAATCAACATTGAGTATTTTTATCTGTTGGATTTTGTGAGATGCTTTTTTCTGCATCTGCTAAGATGATTATATGAGTTTTTTCCCCCTTTGTCCTATTAATAGAGTTTATATTTTAATTGATTTTTGTATATTGAACAAACCTTGTAATCCTGTGATAAATCCACCTAAGTCATGGTGTATAATCTATTGTATATGCTGTTGCAATCAGTTTGCTAATTTTTTTGAGGCATTTTACACATATATTCATCAGAGGTATTACTCTATAGTTTCCTTGTCATATCATCTTTGGCTGGCAGTATCTTTGGTTGGTAATATTGGCCTCCTTCAATGAGTTGGTACCCTCTACTGCTTCTGCTTTTTGGTAAAACTTGTGAAGGATCATTGCTAATTCTTCTTTAAATATTTGGTAGAATTTTTTTCTTTTTCTTTTTAACTGGGGATTGAATTCAGGGGTATTTCACCACTGATCTACATCCCAGTTCTTATTATCTTTGAGTCTCACTAAATTTATGACACTGATCTCAAACTTGCAAACCTCCTAGCTCAACCTCCCAAGTCACTGGGGTTCCAGGTATACCCACTATACCAAGCTAAAGATTTGGTAGAATTTACTGGTAAAGAAATCTGTTCTTGAGATTTTCTTTGTGGGAAATGTATTGCCTCCAGGTTAAACTCGGGGAAAAGAGTC